CTTCTACTGTGAAGATCAGAATTGGAAAACAGAAGCTTTGGAGTTGTCCAATATTAAATGTCTCCATTTCCCTCACACTCTGTTCTCCTGCAACACAGATGGTTATGGTGGCAGAGACTTGCAGCTTTTCCAGCTCTCTTTTAATCAATAGCTGATGTCAGACTTGGTTTTTTCCAAGGGATTTTGGTGCAGCTGTGTTGAGTACAGAAAGTACTTCTGAGGTTTTGCCTTCCTGGTAGGAAGAAGAATAAGGCTTTAGTATGGCCTGTCCTGCTGGTGTATTTTTATGAGTTGGAAGCAGCAGTCGTGGTATAGAACAGACGGTTCTGGAGCCTTTTCTTGGAAGCTCTGATTCCCCATTGGTTTGTTGTGCCCATAGGGAATCTAGTTCTAATTGTAAATATCACTTTTTTTACAGTTACAGGCTGAAGGATCTCTCTCTTTTATTGGCATCATCAAGTTCTTGTAACAAGCTTTGCCGTGTGTGCACTGGTGTTAATTAGGTGGCTGTATCTGAGCCTCCTGGTGGCTCTCACCATCTTGTTAAAGTGTGATATGTTGTAACTTCCTAAAAAAGCAAGTGTGGGAACAAGCAGAGACTGTTTACAAGCTTCCATCTGTAGGAGTGAGCTGCCTTACTAAGCCTGAGTAAAAGTAGCAGGAAACTTTCAAAGCTGGCTTCACACTTAAGTGATAGTGTAGGTATGGCATGAAGTTGAGAAGAGCAGTAGCCTGTTACTTCTAGACTTTTAACTGCTGTGGGATTTGGGTACCTTTTTTTTTAAACTGGGAACAATGTCACTGTCTTGCAAAGATGGTGACTGTGTCATGTTCTGGAAGTTCAAAGCTTGGCTTTCCTCTGAAGTTGCATAGGTTTTCATTATTGCTTTGTCTGCCTCTGCTCATGAAGGTGTATTTGCTCTCTGCAGATGAATTAAGATGCTGTAAGCAACTCATCTAGTCTGAAATCTGCACAGGCAAGAATTTTGGTGCAGATAGCTCAGTATTGAAGTGATTTATGGCTGAATAGACAAATCAATTGTAGAATTTGTCATGGTACCTCTGTATAAGTTTTGGGGTTTTTGCCTTCTAGCTGGGAGATGCAGCTTTATCAGTAGTAATCAATTTGGTTTTCTTTCCTCACAGGGCGACTCAGGTAGTACGTGCATCCAAACGGTGACAGTTCTTCTGAGGCCTGGAAGTTATTTCTAGTTGGAAGAAAAAGTAACGTTGGTAAGACTTGAATTGTCAGTTGGTATCTTATTTGGGTTACCCACATAGCTGAAGAAAGGCAGAGGGGAAAGACCTACCCCTTCGACATGGATGAAATGTCCTTCAATAACTGCAGACAACTATTTTAATCTTATGTTTAAAATAATCTGTATCAGTTTAAGAAGTTGATATCAAGCTGAAAAGATCTTGTTATATTGTGGCTTTTTTAATTTTCACCTCTGCCCTACTTCCTTTACTCTGAAGGCCTTGAAAGACTAGATGTTAATCTGGTCCTATGTCAGCTGCAGAACTACAGTGAATTAAAAGAAGTGTTGAACCCCTGGTATGTAAAGTGACTGCCTTCAATACAGGCAGGAGTTGGTACCAGTGTTCTTGTGTAGTTGCAAAATTTGGGCTTAGGAGCTAACACAGTAGTTCTTTCAAGTTCTCCTTGTTGAGCCTGGCTTGTACACCTAGGAGGAAGGACACATCCAAAGCTGCTGATGAGCCTTTATAGCCTGGCTTTTCGCTCTGCTTCTGTTTGAGCTGAATAGTCTTGCCAAGATCCTGAAAGTATTGACTGGCTGCAGACTGGTGTTTGACACCTGGGACTGCAATTCTAGTGCAGCACTGATTAGGAATAAATTTCCTTCCCAACTGATCATCCAGTTTCTATTTCTTGTCCTGCTCTGGTTATTTAGAGCAGTACAAAATAAGCTTCCTCTTGTCTTTAAAAGTTACAAGTCTGAGCTGATATGTTCAGATTTTTGTATCAGGGTTAACTGACAGATGTAGTTGGTTAGCACCATTTTATATTTAACAAGGCAGTTGATATTCGTATCCATCAGTATGTTCTAAAAACTGTTAATGTTTTTGATCTCCAGGCTCAAAATGAGTGCCATGTTGGAAACCCCTGAGCTGCCAGCAGTGTTTGATGGGGTGAAGCTGGCTGCAGTTGCTGCTGTGCTGTATGTTATTGTTCGCTGCTTGAATTTAAAAAGCCCAACTGCCCCTCCTGAACTCATCTACCAGGACTCTGCTTTGGCCCGCTTTCTGCTCAAATCCTGCCCACTTTTGACCAAAGAGTAAGTAGTATATTTTTTCCATGTTGACCTTTGTTACAGGGAGACAAGCTGCACATAAACATGCTAGGCAGGTTCTTAAACCTGGGTGTAAGTGAATGTCTGGGTAGTCTCTTGATAAAATAAACATGTTCTAAGTATTTAATTACTGTTATTATCCCAGGCACCTGGGTTAAGGACCAAGCTTTATTGTGCAGGGCTGTTCAGGAATGTATGGAAAAAGTCATCCCTGCCTCTCTGTATAGTAGCTGTATGCTGATCCTGTACTGTATTAGCACTACATAGTCCACTGTCTGTGGACTATGGGGTAGGGGTGGATGCAGTCACCAGTGTTTCCTTTTCGTGTAAACAACTTTCTGTTGGGTAAGAAATCTGACAGGACTCTCAGGAAGGAAATGTTTTCAATGTGTCTGTGCAATTATAATGAACACAGGGATAGCACTTGGTTTTAATGTGTCTTCTCCTACTTCAAGGTCCTTAAATTGATTGCAGACTAATGAAATCTATTACTGGGTAGAGCACATCATAACTGGTTTAATAAAGTAATGACATACTGGTCAGCTCTAAGCCTGTGGAATCCATGTTCAAACTGACATTGTCAGCTGTGTATTTGAGCAGACTGATCCTTGCCGTTCTGTTCTAGGACCTTCAGAGTCAGTGCAGCTGCCCTTACCATTAGCAATAATATTAAGCATTTACTACAGTTTTGTGAGGCTTTGGATAGGAGGACTTTAATTACAGTGTTTCTCTACTGCAATCACTTTGAAAGCTTGCAGGTCCTAAATACATCAATTATCTTGTAAGCACTGAGTGCAGCTGCATGAACTTTCCTTTTGGATCTCAAAAGTCAAACTGGCTTGATAGTCATTTTAGGGGTTATGAGAGGCTTTCAGCAGTGATGTTAGGTGCCTTGATTACATAAGATATAAGATCTTGGGCTGTAGAATCTGTGAACTCTTACAGGAAACAAAGCATTATCTGTTAGAGCCTGGAGAAGGCTCCCTGATGCACTTCGAGTTTGGTAGCAACACAAGTGTGTGTTGGAGCTGAGCGCTGAAATTGGATTCTTAATTATGGCTGGTGCCTTAACTGCAAAGCAGTTACTTCCTGAAAAAAAATACCAAGTAACTAGAACCTCCTTAGTGTATCTTAGACATTTGTCATCTCAGTGTTATCCTCCAGATTGACAAGTCCCTAGTCACTTAAAGATCAAGCATGAAGTTGTGCTGATTACCAGTCCTGAAGGCATATTAGTACCAGGCTAATATTTGGAAACAGATTGTAAGCTAATTCAGAATCCATGTTACTTCTACTTCAGCTCTGTTCTCATGGTACAAGCTCGTAGCACTACTGTATTAGAGGCATATTTTGAACTTTCACTCACTTGGAGAGAAAAAAGCATTCCCAAAAGAGTGAAAATGCAGAACATTTCAAAAAAAATGCGGTATACCTATTGAGCATTAATTGCTGGAGTGAAGAGTTTCTTGCACTACCCTGATGTTGTTAATAGAGTATTTTTTGGGGTTGTTTGCTTTCTCTGGATCAACCCAGAGCTCACTTGCCAACTTCTCTGAAAACTGTAGCTGTGATTTCCAGCATATGTGGTTCATGGGCAGAATGTTGTTTCCTGGGGTCATGGAAGCCCTTGAGGCAAACTAGAACAAAATGTGTCAATAGATAGTTGTTTAGTCTTGTCTGTATACTTGTATTAAGGGTAACAGGAATGTAATTATTCTTGGGGATTGAAAGGGTTTACAGGAAGGACAAATCTAAGATGATGTGTGATTTATTTTTTGCTATTCTATTGATGTTATCAGACTTTTTAAATACAAAAATAAAAATACTGTTTTCAGGCATGAAAGTCACCTGGAAACTAAATGGGAACAAATATATTTAAATTCCTGCAATTATGCATGAAACAGCTTTTTGCTAATTAGTCCTCCAAACTATGTGAAAACAGCTTGTTCCATACTCCACTGAAAAAATCTTGTAAGGCTTTGATTACTTGCTAATTATCCAGAGTGGTAGGAAAGCTGATTAAGCAGCTCTTTTCAAATTCTCCCATGGAAGCAAAGTAAGTAGCCCAGCAATCCCTCCTGTTATAATAGGACTGGGTTTAAGATATGTTGCAAGTCCAATATTCTGTACAGCTGTGAACTGGCTTTTGGGCCTGGTTTGTTCAGCTTCCTCAGGCATAAGGGAGTAAGGCCTGAAGTATTGTTGGGAAAAAAAATCAAACAGGGTGGCTTGGGAGAATGCAGAAATAAGCAAAGTTGTTCTGTCTGTGTGGCTATTCCAGAAGTGTTTTTTTCTAAGTACTTTTGATTTTATTTCCCTTTAATGGCACCATCCTCACCTATGGACTTACTCAATACATTGTAACTGTAGTGTCATTCAGTAAGCCAAGTGGTGGTGGATGAATAATTTAAGAGCTTTGGATAGTAAAACAGTCTGAGATGGATGTGTGCCAAGGACTTTGTACTTGCAGATGTTAGTACTGCTTTTTACAATACTCTAAACTGCTAGAAGCTTTCTATGTATTGATCAAATACTGGTAAGCAATAAACTGTTTTCCTAGAGCTCATGTTTTCTCACCTCTTTATTTCCCTTCCTTTACCCCTGTCCAGCTCTGCACATCGCCTTACCAAGGAAAGTAGCATAATCAAACCCTTTTTCATTCAAAGAATTGCTTCTTGCAGAGAAGCTCTTGCAAGTCAGCACAGCTATTGGTACACTTGGGCCTAACCCCTGGCTTTGGCTGTCTTCTTTTCCTGTCTTTCAAATTGAACAGAACATTTGCCATCTGCTCTCTTATTCCTGTAGAAATGCAGCATTGGCTCTTTGATTCATAAGGACAAATTTGGCCTCTCTTTGTTGTACAGAAGAGAAGAATCTAGATATTTTTTTGGCAGTTCCCAATTTCTTCTAACATCAAGTGCATGTGTATACCTTTATTCCTGTAGAGGTGTGGCACAAGTGTCATCCTTATAGAAAATAATTACCCTTGCAGTCTGCACATTTTTATCATTAACAGCAAACTCCTTGAAGATTTAGGCAAATGACTGTCAAGCCTGTTAGTAAACACTGTCAAAGATCCAGCCTAGATTCTCCTTATCTTTTGTCTGCACAGTAACCTGAACTGGATAAGCAGACTGCCAGGTACCAGAAGACTTGTGCACTGTCACTGCTTTTCTGCTAGATGCAGGGGGACAAGTAGTCAGAAAAGCTGGCTTCAAGCTTTTCAACGTTCTCTTGCTCCATCTAATAGCAAACAGTCCTTGGTGGTTTACCTTGGGAGGAATGCTTCCATGGAAATAATAAACTAGAAGTAGTATGTTATTCCTGAAGCTTTAGCAGGTGAACATCTTGGGAGATAAGAGAAGAATGGTAGCTCCCTATTGATAACTTGAGGTATTAGCCTTAGAAAGGGAAGCAGCCTGGGGGGGTGGGGGATGATGGGCAGTTTACTAAATAAAAGCTGCCTAAATTGGGAAGGGGGTGGTTTAACCAAGGTCAGTCTGTACTTTTAAATAGCTCTGACTTCATGCAGTTTCTATGGGAAGCAAGCACTTCTACTCCACAGCTGTTAGTTTCTTTTTCAGAGGATATGGAAGCTGCTTCCAAATTTTGCTGTTACGTGCTTGCTGTGTCTTTGTCACGCTGACCAGTCTAGTTGAGCTAATGCAGAAAAAGGTGCCCTCTACGTATTTGGAGTGGAGGGGGTTGGACCCCATGGACTTTGAGATGAGATTTCTTGAGTAGAATTCAAATTACATTCTCTAGCATCAAATAAGGGACAAGATTAAAATGAGGTTTGATTTTTCAAGCATCCTTTATATACCTCCAGGCTGCTCAGAAAAGGAGCTGGGAGGAGGTGGGGGTTGGATGGGAGGAAAAAAACCAGTTCCCTGGTGGCAGCTCTCAAAGTGTCCCCTGACATGGACAAATTGTAGGTTCAGCTCTCTTCCCATTAGTACCTAATGTACTGCAGCACATCAAAGCTGATCTAAGAGTTAATGTTTAAGTGTTAATCTCCTCAGATGAAGTGAAGTTATGTTCCAGAAATAAGCCTATTGCTGAACTTCCACTTCAGATTTTTGAGGACCTGAATGCTGATGCTTGCTAATAAAAATAGCATCATTTTTATGTGCTTTGTGTGAGCTGCTTATACAGCTGCAGCTTTCCTAAATTCCTGCATACTGAGTGATGTGTGTGCTCTAAAATCATAATCTGCTGCCTGAGAGCCGTGGAAACTTTATCTACAGTCACATGTTGGAATTGTTTTTAATATTAAAATACTAGGATAGTGTTTGTGAAACACTTACAATGCGCTTGCTCTTGGGCACTATGTGTGGACAGCCACCTAGGGGGATGTGGGGCTGCAAACACAGTATTTGGAGCTAAAGCATCTGTGAGCAGATTTATGTAACTGGCTGTGGATTCACTTTGCCACTTAAGGCTGATGAAGTCTGTGCTGCTTGTGCCATTTAAATCAGCTTCCATAAAAAGTAACAGACATCCCCAGACCTGTTCTCCTGTCTGCCTTCTGTTACTGGAAGTTACAAGACTGGCTACTGGAAGCCATTAACTACCTGCCTCAAAATTGTCTTTACTTGGAGTGCCTGAGACTTACTGCAGCTGACAAAATCAAAACAGGGAAATGAGTTGCTTGAAAGCCTCTTGGTCTGGAGAAAACTGGAAAGCCATTTTTGCTCTGCAGAACCTGAGATATTTGTTTCTAGTACAACATAACTTTGCCTTCTGATTTCCTGTGTTATCAGGACTTGCTTCAGACAAGCAAGTGCTGTTGTGGTATATCATCCTTGTCCTTGGCTGGGCATGCATACACCTCTTTGGCAAGACATCCTGCTGAGTGCCACCCAGCTGGCTGCTCAACTCCTGTCATCTCTAAACTGCTGTTGCAGAACATTGGAAATGTTCTCTTACACCCATGAGCAGCTTTACTGGAACAGGGCACTGAGGAATGCATAGCAAATCATCTCCATACAGTGAAACTTGCTGTACTGGGATCATCTCTACAGGACACTGCTTTTCAAAACCTCTTTGGTTTATAGCAGGCATTATAGAGAAGTTCAAGTCTGTCATGTCCTTGAACACTTCCCTTTTTCTCCTTACTATCAATATCGGAAGGAAGTCCCCTGCTTCTATGAGTGAGTGGCCCTTGTTTGGATGGCATGGTTAAATTTTGCAGTAATGATAATTTTACTGTAAAATCTAAAGGGCAATGCTTGAATGCTCCCTAAACAGGTTAGCACTTAGTTGCTTAGTATTACCTAGCTCATGTTTTCATGTATCATACCCTGCTGAGCTTGTTTTGGTAAGGTAAGACATCAGAAAAATAGCTTGAGTACATGTTGTTCTGCCTAGAGGATGATTGTTTCAGAAGAGCATCCCTTTTCAGCTTTTTGCCATGGGGAATGTTTGCTTCATTGTGAAACAATCTGCCCTGAATAGTTAGATCTCTTCAGCTGGATTGAGTATGAAAAAGTCCCTGGAATTGTTTTTCACATCATGGCTTAAGTAAAATGTAGGTTGTTGGATCTGCTTTCAAAGAGTGAGGACTCTTGCATAATTCCTGGCTAGGTTGGAGTGGGTTTTTTGCCTCACCAGTGTGGTATTGTGCATCTTCATGTCTGAAGAGTTCTTTCTTTGCCTTCCTCGTTGGATGGTTTTAGTAAAAGCAAGCTTGAAGTCCAGACAAATCCTGGATAAAAAGATGTCCTTAAGTCCTGCACAGTTTTTGCACTATTATGTACTGTTAAGGACTATTATGCTTAGTACTTGGCCTTGGAAGTTCTTGTAGACAGAAATGTAGATAGAAGTCACTCATAGGAAGACTTTCTAAAACAGATTTGTCCAGTTCTAAAATGGAGGGTCAAGAGAAATAGTCTGACAGACAGATCATGTGCCCAATTCTGCTATAGACTTTTAGGGATGCTTTACAAAGTCAAACTTGTCCATCAGCTGAGTACAGCTTTTACTGGAATGAGTGATATCAGAGGCAGCACTCTGTTACTGTCAAGGCTTTACAGGGCTTTGTAGTAAGTTTGATTGGCAACTTGTCTTGGAAGATTTAAGTCTAATATTTTTAATAACTGCCTGTTTTCCATTGGTGTGGTAAGGTGGGTTTTAAACTCTTGGGTTTTTTGTTGATTATGCAAGATCTATGCAATCTGGGCAATTTCTTCTCCTCTCTCCTTCTTCAAGTCTTGTGATGTTCAGAATCCTGGAACATGGGTACTTAACAGATTTTAGGAGATCTGTCTTACCATAAACCTATTGCTTAAAGCTGATGGACAGTAGTAGAATAAAAGATATGTGAGATAACAAGCTGCTGCTCTAACACTTGCATTTATTTCAGAGCTTGAACTGCTTTATTTTTAAGCACAAACTGCAGAAATATACTTAACATGCTTAAATATGGCTAAGTAACAAAGCTCTGCATCAGAATATTGTCCTATGCATGTTACTCATTCTGGAACTTGACCTTTGAATATTTATCTGGAAGAGTGTAGTTACATGCAGAGTGACTAAGACTAGCAAATATTTGCAGGCTGTTTGATGCCTAAACAACTGGCTGGAGTTACCATAACAGACTAAGCTTGGTCCATCAGATGCTCAGAAACACTAACTTGTGCACTCTATGCATTAAAACATTTGTCTTCATTTAAACTCCAGCAGTAGTGGTGAGGCTTTTGAAGACTTCTAATTTCCTCTCTACCAACATCCTGTGGTATGTGTGCTGCAGCTGCTGCATCTGTTCCCCTGGATGACTAACTTACAGCTGGAAACTGAACTGTAGGTAAACAAAAGCAAAGGTGCTTGCAGAAAGCCTTGGTTTTATTCTATTTTTTACCACCAAGGTGGTGGTAATAATCAGTAACAAGTATACAACTGAGTTGACTGTTGTAGCTCAAGAAATTGCATTCCAGTTAGTCCTATGTGGTAAGACTTTGGGTTTTACCTGAGATCATCTTTGATCTTAAAAGCACTGTACAGAAAAGCAGAATCACTGAAACCTCCAGTGCCTGTGTTTAACCTGAGATTAGTGCAACAATCCTGAAATCTGCATGTCCTCTAAAAGAGGACAATTCTTACTGTAGGTTGTATTTGACAGCTCTCCTAAAAAAAAAAGGTTGTAGCAAAACCCATCTGCAAAGGACTTCTGTGGCAGAAGACAAAAAGCCAGTCAAGCACTGTCTGGTGTGGGGTATGGCTACTGACCTGAATTGGGTGTAAAGTAAATGACTGGGGTGAAGCCAGCTGCTTTTTTCTTATGCTAGAAGAGCAGTGTCTTTTCCATCTGTCATGATAGTTACTGTTCAGACCCCTCTGCAGTGAGCTGTATGTGACTTGAGCAGAACCATCTGTAGTTCTTGTGCTGCCTTGTTTACACTGACTGCACTATCCTGATGCGTGTGTACTTTGAATCAGGGGAGTGTATCCACTGACTACTTTCCACCTCTACCAGCAATTGCAGAGGATGAGCTCATACAGTCCCCATCATTGCTGGGAATCTGTGCAGGGCTGGAATGCTGTGCCCTGTGCCTGGCAAGACCCCTCCAGCACAGAGATGCTGGGATGATAAAAGGTAGTGCCACTAGCCTCATGCAGGTTCTTTGAAAGGCTTTATAGCTGAGTGGTCTAATTCAAGATGCACTGAGGGCCAATTTACAAGGTTACAAGCATCAGCTGGCAGCTTTTGTAGCTTTTATTGAAGTGGTGTCTCCTACAGGAATCAATTTTATCTCTGGGAAGTGCACTTGCAAAATATGAGTTAAACTGTACCATGAGCTACTCTGCTGCATTTTCTGTCAGAAGTCTCCCTCTTGGATGAGGGAAGTAAACAGGGAGAAAGTACAGTGCTGCTCTGCTCTTGAAAAAAGGTAACTTTATAGGAAGTAGTATGTAGGGAGAACAGGGAGTTGTGGATACAACACAGGAAAGCTGATGTGGGGAAGAGATCCAGCTGTGTGAGTAGGTAGAGTGAGAGCACAAAGGCAAGGTTTGTCACATTCTAGTAGCTTATGGGCTTAAGTAATGAATAGGGGAAAACAGGAAAGAACAGGCTCTCTGTTTCGTATTTTCTCAAGCTTTAAAGGAAATAATTGCAGGAAGCCCTCCCTATTAAAAAAATAATAATAATAAATTAGGAGGGAGTTGCTAATCTCTCAGGACCCAAGATGGTTTCAACAGCTCTCAAGCTTCTTCTGGATACCTGTCTTTTTGTAGCAGAGTCCACAGTTCCTTAATTGGATGTCCCCTGTGACTGTTATTCTTCTAAACAATAGATCATTCATGCTTTCCTGTTGAGAACTGATGTAACTATTATTCAAGGCTTTGTCTTAGTCTGTCCTTTGCAGCGTGGCCAGGTGACTGCCACACCTGTTATGTGGGCAAGTATGCCTCCTGTTAAACCATGTGCAGCTTTTCTTATGCTAAAAAATCTTGATAGCGAAGCCTTTAACTCTTCCCGCTTAATAGCTGTTTCCCCCATGCCTTTTTTGAGGACCAGGAAGCAAGGAAAAGAAAAAAACAAAACACTTTTGTCACTTAGCTTTAATATATCCTGCATAAGCAAACCTAATTATTAGTCTCTCCTCTTATTTTGAAGAGACTTATTATTCAGTGGAGTTTGGCCAGTTCTGACAGGTCCTCTTAAAATTGTCCCAGCTTTACTGAGCTGTGCTTGTGAGGTGAAAACCGGAGTCCACAGTTCCTTAATTGGATGTCCCCTGTGACTGTTATTCTTCTAAACAATAGATCATTCATGCTTTCCTGTTGAGAACTGATGTAACTATTATTCAAGGCTTTGTCTTAGTCTGTCCTTTGCAGCGTGGCCAGGTGACTGCCACACCTGTTATGTGGGCAAGTATGCCTCCTGTTAAACCATGTGCAGCTTTTCTTATGCTAAAAAATCTTGATAGCGAAGCCTTTAACTCTTCCCGCTTAATAGCTGTTTCCCCCATGCCTTTTTTGAGGACCAGGAAGCCAGGAAAAGAAAAAAACAGAACACTTTTGTCACTTAGCTTTAATATATCCTGCATAAGCAAACCTAATTATTAGTCTCTCCTCTTATTTTGAAGAGACTTATTATTCAGTGGAGTTTGGCCAGTTCTGACAGGTCCTCTTAAAATTGTCCCAGCTTTACTGAGCTGTGCTTGTGAGGTGAAAACCCCCTCTTCACTTCACTGAGAAAAGCATTTCTCTTTAAAATCATCCCAGCCATTAAGTCTTGGGACTTTCAGGCTTCTAGAACTTGCTAGCAGTGCTGTTTCTGCCACTGGCTTGGACAGTCCAGTGCTTATGCAAGTTCATGTGACTCAATCCAGGAAGCATCCACGTTTCAATAGTGAGATTTACACTGTCATGTTTTGAAGGTCAGTGTGGCCAGCAACACGCTGTCCCAGTGTCACTGAGACACAAGGCCTCTGCCTGGAGAAGTGTTTGCACATGTGAGGTCTCAATATAGAGGAATGTCTGGATTTTGGCTTCTGCTGCTGCTATCAGTGCTGATTTGTCAGTTTTGAGAGCTTATCAGTCTCTCCTCTTGTGTAAGGCTGCACAGATCAGTGCTGTCAGTTCAGTCATAACAGAAACAATTTCCTACTTGCTACTATTTTTGGGAGCCAGGAGGATATCTGTTATGGAAGTGATAATCTGTTCTCAAAGGCTTTTTAACACAGCAGGGATAAGCAATTAAATTACTGTCTCTTTCAGGTACATTCCACCCCTGATCTGGGGAAAGA